GTTCATTCTTCCCGCAATGCTTGCACTTCATGCCCTCACGATTAGTATTCCTTTTCTCAACCGGGTTCTTGTCGGTAGTGATTTGAGCACGCATCTGATAAGTTAATGCATCTACATTGGGTTTTCTGGCAGCTGAGATGTTTCGCTGTTGTTCATCTTCTGAAACCAAGTGGTAAGTAGCTCCAAGTGAGGGCATAGGTTTAGTGCTAAGGATCTGAGTTTTTATGGTTCCAAAAGTGTCCTCAAGACCCATTAAGAACTCATAAACACGTTCTTTGTCTCTTGATTCAACGAGCCTTTTTCCAATGTAGCAAGTACATTTGCCACTGGTGCAAGTTGGTGTCGGTGAAGCAGAGAGAATTTCATCCCATATCGTCCTTATCTTCGTAAAGTAGGTTGAAACTGAATCAAATCCTTGTCCGAGGGTTGTTAGGGCACGTTTCAATTCATAAGCACGTGGTACACTTTCCTTTCCAAATCTTTCTTCCAGATCATCCCAAATCTCCTTGGCGGTGGTAGCGTATTTTACACTATTCCTGATATCCTTCTTCATGGCTGTAGTAAGCCATCCCTTTATCAAAGCTTCACTTCGTTGCCAGGCCATGTACTCATTCGTTCCTTCAGTCGGCTTTTCAATGGTTCCATCAATAAAACCAACCCTATTCTTTGCTAGGAGAAAATCTTTTATCTCCCTGGACCAGTCAGCATAATTGTTGTCACCAAGTTTTTCATTGACATGCACTTGTCGTGGATAATCAGTAGGATGGATGTAAAATGGTGAGTTTGGATCTGATGACGGGTTGGTGTTGGTACCGGAGCCGCCCGGTGGAGTGTCTCCCGTCATCGCTTAACAGGATGCAATGTCCTGCTCTGATACCATAAAGAACTGAATAAAGAGAACAATAATTCCAAGGAAATCGATACTAGCATTAGATGAAGAAGGGGATATATGTAATCCCAAAGACAACTGGATTTCAAATAAAAAAACAAACTAGTAATTATCTAATATCTAATGTGATTATCTAATAATAAAACGATAACTCCTTTAGGTACAAAACTCACCACTAGAGCATTACGATGGTGGAATAATTTCAATAAAATAATTGGAACACCTTATACAAGCATATTATCATGGAATGAGTTTAGTGGCATACTTTAGAAACAATTTGGAAGGAAAAGGGAACTCATGCCATAGAAAATAACCCATTGAGTTAGAGAATTGTGTCCTTTAGCGAAAAGGTGAGAAAAACATATAAAATGAGAATTATAAAATCAAGAAAACGAGAAATAGAGGAATGGTGGAAGGTGGAAATTCGAAACCAAACGGAATTAAAAATATTATTTGTTTGAAGTGTAGAGAGAATGGATATTTCTTCCATAAATGTACCAATGAGACAAGATGTCTAAGTTGTCAAGAGTTTGGATATATTGTTATATGGTTTCCAAATAAAAAGAAGTCTTAAGCCATTGAGACTAACTTATAACTAGGATATGCAATCCAAAGAAAATGTACATCATGTAGGACAATAAAGCAAAAACAAAAGGCAAGGGCTTAGAGGAAGAAACACGAGAGATGTCTCAAGAGGAAGATCATTGGAAGAGATTACATGTCACAAATATGGAGAAAATGGGCACTATCCCAATACATATGAAAAAGGGCATAAATGTTTCAAGTGCCAAGAATATGATCATATTTCAACCAAGTGTTCATCATTAAAGATGGAAAGAGTGGGATAAGGATGCATCAAGATGTAATAAAAAATAGGGTTCCGACATTCCAAGATACTACAACTAGAGTTTGTGATGTTGGTGGCACGACTAGAGGTACTTAATTCTAAATAAATTCTACTAGCAGTTTCTTATTCTTGTGAATCTATTATGAGTCATCACACACAATTCGGGTGGTATCAATCTCTCTGTCTTAGTAATACCACTAAAGTGTCCGGTTCAAAAATAACATGATGTAAAAAACCAAAATGACTATCGTGAATCGGTAGATAATACCCATGATTTGTGATCTCTTTGAAGCTAAAATGAGAATAGTAATATGTTTAAAAGGAATAGAAACTATAAATCTTCTTAAAAACTAAGAATCAAATGTTTTATAACCTAAAAAGTATTTTTCCAATAGAGATAGTTTGGAAAGATTGATACTCAAATAAAAATTATAGAAAGAAGATTTAAACAAATAAAGTTTTGGAACAAAATAACCTTTGTTGAAAGTACGATTTTATTGAAAGGACTCAAATTTACCTTCTTCAACGGGAATGATGTAAAAAGAAAATTTTAGATAATGATTTCAAAAACAAAAAAAATTATAACTTTACTATTTTTATCTTTCAAGATGATTACGATGACGAAATCATCCTAAGGCATGCGAAATAGTAACATCTTCAAAATGGGTCTGGAAGTTTTTGCCCCATTTAATTAAAAATTGAAGGTTTTGGAAATAAAATCAAATAAATATAAATAATTAATAAAAATAAATAATTAAAGGATAATAAATAAAATATATGATAAGGATGACGATATAAATAAAGTAGAGGTTTAATAGTGTCAGATTGAAATAAATTATAGTTAAGGATCAAAGTTGCTGAATCTTGAAAGTTAGGAATTGACTTTTGATTAATAAGTTAAACAAAGTAGAGGTTTGATAGTGTCAGATTGTAATAAATTATAGTTAAGGATCAAAGTTGTTGAATCTGGAAAGTTAGGAATTGACTTTTGATTAATAAGTAGGACTTGAAAGTTATAAATTATATGGAAAATGATTATTTAGGACATTAAGGTACTAAGTAGTTTTGGCCTAAGTGTAAACTTTTGAAGTTGAAGGGTCAAAATTGCCAATTAGACAAACTTGAAGGACTACTTTGACTTAGTCATGACCATATTGATAGGAATGGAAAATTATAAGGTGAATGTGTAAGAATGAGAAGTTCCATTAAAATATTGGTCAAATGGTGTTTATTTGAGAGAACTCAAACATGAGGGACCATAATGTAATATCAATAGACTAGATGTATATAAGCTTGATGGTTTCTCTCTATTTGGGAGAACACAACTTGGAGAGGAAGAATGAGGCTGTCTTCAAGCAATTCTTAGTGCTTTGGAGTGAAGCATTTGAAGAATGTGGTATGGTTTGAAGGCAAGAGGTCTACTACGACCAGGCCTGACCTGACATGTCCGAAGCCTTGTGCGAAAATCAAAATGAGGCCCCATAAAAAATTTATAAAATATTATTAAGTAAATTTTCTACCACTAAATTTGAAACTCAAAGTTGCTAATAAGCATCTCGTAAATTCATTACCACGACATCATGAGTTCATAAATAAATTATTCAAATGAAAATGAGAATTTATCTTATGAGAGAAAAAAGTTAAGCACAGTTGAGATTTAGGGAATTTAAAAAGATAGAAGATACTAACTTGTAGTTGAGGAGTCAATCGGAGGACTTAGAGGATGACAAGACAAATACCACCAACTCAGCGATATATCAAGATTCAAGACAGAAAACGGTTGTTTCCGACGAGAGAGACGAGCAACATCGACGATCTTCTGGCACCGTTATTGGGATTGTTGGGGTTTTATCTTTTGATGAGTTTTATAAAAACTATAACGTTTGATTGAACTTATATTAGAAACATAGATATTTTCCTTAAATTGTTTATAAATTATAGAACATATGATAAGATTTTGTTTTTTATTTTCATTGATTTTTTTTCATAATTAACATTACTTCAAGATTGCAACCAAATGTTACATTGTGTATATAGCTAAATATTAATATTCTTAAATAACAACACATAAAAATGTATTTTATGAAAATTCTAACACCAGTACTATGTATTGTCCCTAAATTTGGAGGCCCCTTAAATCGGAGGCCCCATGCGGCCGCACCACTCACACACCCCCAGGGCCGCCACTGACTACGACTTAAAAGCAGGGCCGGTCCTATGATATTTGATGCCCAGGGCAAAACAAAAAAAAGGCCCCCTTCAAATTACCAAAATTTATACAATAATTAAATCTAAGTTAATTCTTTTCGCAGAATCTTGGTGATAGACAAATTAAGGATGATAAATAAAAATGTTTAGTGATTTATTACAAAAGATTGTTATTATACAGAATTATATGTAAATAACTTCAAATGAATTTTAAATAAAACAATTAAAAAAAATTCTAAATCAATACTAATACATAACATTCTAATAAAATCAAACATATAAACCATCTAGCCTACTATGTTTTATTATCTTTTTATTGTTTATTGGATTTTAATATACATTATAAAAGAATGCAAAGTAAAAATAAAAAAAAAAACATTTGAAAAAAAGGATAATTGAACATATTTAAAAAAAAGAATCAATTAAGTGGTAAAAAACACTACTACTCCTAAGAATCGAACTAGGGTGCCGCATCAAATATAAAAATCATCCTACCAAGTCTCCTGAAGCCTATTTCACTTCATATGCTATCAGAATTTATTATTACTAAATACCTAATGATATAAAATTGGGGCCCCAAGTTCATATGGGTCCTGGGCAGTGGCCCACCTTGTCCCCCTCTTAAACCGGGCCTGCTTAAAAGGTAAAAAAAAACACCCTTCTTTTTGCTAAAGTCGACCAAGGGCGTTATCAAATAATGCAATATGGACCTTTTATGATTAAATCACAATACTATGACCAAAAGTGATGATTTTGACAAACCATAAGACCAAAACTTTATTTTACTCAAGTAAATATCCCTTTTCAAAATATTGATGGTTCAAGGCTTGCTTGAAAGTTTCCAAGTTTTTTTAGTGAATAACTCTAGATTTAATTACCTTATTGTGCATCCCACGTTTTAATTCAATTGTTGTTGCTTCTTTTGAAAGATAAGTATCAACACAATGATCAATAGAAAAAAGAGTGATATTTCTTTAAGCATTAGTAATGACTACACTCTCGAGTAGTAAAAAGGAGTCACTTTTAGATGCGCCCAGGGGCGTAATAAGGCGTATAAACTGATGCGCTGGCCCTTATTCTCCCCCTAATCGCCTCCTTCCGTTTTCTTTATTTTAACGAACGAATACGCGAACCCCACTCAGACACTCTGTCACCTGTGTGCACATTCCTCTTCCTTTCCCAAAGCCGACAATTTTCTTCTGTCTTAAGAGCTCAACATAAACACATACGTTTCCCCCTCGCGCTTTTGCATTCATCTGATTGAACTTTTCCTATCCCAAATCGACTCATAGTCGATTGAACTCCATATTGATTCGAGTAGCTGTGATTGGTTGCTTCTGATTCTTGATTGGTTGATTGGTTTTCTTTACAGATTGCAAAATTTGTTATGAAGCTTATGAGTGAGTGATTTAATGGGCTTTATTTGTTACTGATTCGTTGTGGATTTTGATTCTTGATAAAAGATGCGCCGGCGGGCTGCCGACTACCGGCGCCGGGTTCGAAGGAAGATTTCAATTTGGATCTGGGTGTTTCTTGGGTTGTTCTCTGTTGCTGGATTTGTTCTAATTGTTCTTCAACACAATTATCAAGATCAAGATCGCGTTGAAACGCATGTATTGGTATGATTCTACTGCACACTTAGATCCTATTAATGTTTCTAAATGCAATTCTTTATAGGGTTCATCTTTAAAATTGAGAAAATTTTCCATCTTTTATCTGGTTAATAATGTTCATTGACCTATTGAGTCAACTAATACTAAAGTTTTGGTTGTTGGTGTTTTCAAGATTATTTTAGGCCTCTAACAGGCAAATGTTTTGTTTAGTTAATGGCTTTATTAAATTTTAAAGTAGAAATTGATAGAAGCATTCATGTTAGGTGGGAAGTTGTCATGGTCAGACTGAGATGCCTATCAACATTGGAGTTCATATGATGACTTTCCACTCCTGGAATAATAATTGCCCCTTAAAAATTAAAACACTTTAATTAGTGTAATTGTATTAGGTTTTGATTGTTCAGATATTAATTAAATCTTGAATGTTAAAATTCTGAATACTTCATTAAGAAGGTTGTCTATGCTGTATTAGCCTCTTTGCTTTTGTTTCTTATTATTTTGGATATGGCTTTTTGGTACTTATTATTTGAGTTTCTTAAAAACGACACTTTGCTTTTACTTTTGAGGATTAAGTTTGGTATTTTTATGTGTAGTTTCTATATTTTTCTTACAAAAGAAAATTGTACAACATTTTTCAAAATACAATGCTATAATAGAAAGAACTGGAAGTATGTTGCTATTTCTTGTATTCTGCCCAATCAAAAGCTCAAAAAAATAAAATGTATTGATTTTATTGAATTTTTTGGGAGATATTTTCAGGAGCGAAAGGCTAGAAATGTACAAGTTCCTCACACGAAGCTGAATCTAACAAATGAGATAGCAAGACCCAATTCATACACCCGCCAACTGCTCGACCAAATGACACTAGCAAAAGCTTATGTAGTCTTAGCAAAAGAACACAATAACCTTCATCTCGCATGGCAACTAAGTTCAAAAATAAGAACCTGCCAATCTCTACTCTCAAAAGCTGCCATGAATGAAGAACCCATCATGGAAGAAGAAGCAGAACCCCTCATCACCACTTTATCATCCCTAATCTTAAAATCACAAGATCACCATTATGACATCGCAACCACAATGATGACAATGAAATCACATATTCAAGCACTTGAAGAACGGGCAAACGCAGCCACTGTTCAAGCTGCTTTTTTCGGGCAGTTAGCAGCTGAATCGGTGCCCAAGAATCTTCATTGTGTAAATGTTAAACTTTTAGCAGATTGGTTTTCTAAAAAGACAATCCGCGACTTTGTGGAAGAGAAGAAAAACTCTCCAAGATTACTCGACAACAATCTTTACCATTTCTGTTTGTTTTCCGATAACTTACTGGCGGTCAACGCGGTGGTCAACTCCACTGTCTCCAACACCGACCACCCAAAACAGCTCGTGTTCCATGTGGTCACTAGCGAACCTAATTATGCCACCATGGAAGCTTGGTTTGTGACTAATGACTTCAAAGGGTCAATGATTGAAGTACAAAAAGTCCAAGATTTGACTTGGTTGAACGCTTCTTATTCCCCCGTGGTTGGAAAATTAACCCAAAAAAACGAATCTTTATTAAATTATTTACGGTTTTACATCCCAGAAATCTACCCCCACCTTGAAAAAATCGTGTTTCTTGATGATGATGTGATCGTTCAGAAAGATTTAACCCCGTTATTCTCGTTGGATCTTCATGGGAATGTAAACGGCGCTGTTGAAACATGTCTGGATGGTTTTCATCGTTTATACAAATATTTGAACTTTTCAAACCCGGTTTTGAGCTCCAAGATTGACCCGCAGGGTTGTGGGTGGGCTTTCGGGTTAAATGTTTTTGATTTGGTGGCATGGAGGAATGCTAATGTAACAGGTGTGTATCATTATTGGGAAGAACAGAATTCGAATGTGGGTTCGAATTTGTGGAAGTTGGGGACTTTGCCGGCAGGACTTTTGGCCTTTTATGGGCGGACAGAGCCACTTGACCGGAGGTGGCATGTGTTGGGATTAGGGTTTGATGTTGGGATTGATAATCGGCTTATAGAAAGTGCAGCTGTAATTCATTTTAATGGGAATTTGAAGCCATGGTTGAAGTTTGCAATTGGGAAGTATAAGCCGTTATGGGAAAGGTATGTGGATATGGGTCATCCTTATCTTGTTGATTGTGTTACGAGTTGACAGGTTGGTGATAGTGTAGGGTTGGAAATAGAAAATTTTGGGGTTTTTATAAGTTACATTCTTTTGGTATATTTTTGGTGGAGGGAGGAGTGCTTTTTTTTGTAGACATTTGAAAGAAATATATTGTTTCTACGTAGCAACCAAACAAAACAAAAGTAGGAAATGTTAAAACTTAAAATAAGTATTGTTTTATAAATTAATGTGGAGTTTGGACCAACATGCAAAGAAAATGTACAATGAGGGGTTAAAAGTTAACATGACACAATGTATAGTTAGCAGTGGCGGATCACAATAGGGGGTGGGGAGGCCATGGCCCCCCAGTGTTTTACCCTTCTATGTTTGATATATATATATATATATATATATATATATATATATATATATATATATATATATATGCAGTAAATAATTATTGATGTATAAAACTCTTTATCATCTAATGTAAATGTAAATCTCCTCAATCACAATAATTCTCTAATACTTTAAAATTTTATTAAAAATTATACTACAGAACTTATTTCACTCATATGTCATGACCTTGTCATTACTTTTAGATAATAATTTATCAATTATAAATGAGGTCTTAGATTACCACAAAAAAATATAAAATAAATAAAATTAATTATGTAGTTTAATTTGGTGCATCATATAATATGGGTATTGAAACGAATTACCTGTTAGTTTTCTTCATATTATTTTATTTGAAGATTTAAATATCTAAATTACATATTTACTCTTTTTTTTATATACAATCAACTCTTTGATGAATTCACATACAAATAATCCGATTAGTAAAAAATAAAATGATTTCATTAACAACAAACTTTTCCATATATACACAAATAATATTTGTTTATTTTAAGTTATACAAGAGATACATGTCAAAAATACAAAATCCATATTCATGTATTTATATGGTTTTGTTTTAAAACACAGTTACATAATAAAACGTAAAACGAGTGCCGTTTTGATTAACAATGGAAGAATATGTCTTAAAAGTTGTCTTCATTGTATTATAACTTTGAACCATTTTAAATGTGTTCATATGGTTTTGTTTAGAAATTTGGTTCTGCGCCCCTAGTTGTAATGGTTGTGTTCCGCCCCTGATAGTTAGCACAAAACCCATTATACTACAACGAAGCCAGCTGTGGAAGGTTTGTTCCACTTCCACACGCCATCCTAATGGACTAATAACTGAGAGAAAGGGCATTGCATTATACCGAAAGATTAGAACTTATTGATTATATTCTCTCTAGTCGGTCATAGAGTGGGGCATTGTCCATAGCAAGTTGTTTATAAAAATTAGAAATGTAGTTAACGACTCGAGGCTTCCTAAAAATATTTGTATTTAAGTTTTATCCTTAATCTTCTTATTGGATAAATTATCTTCAAAATTTATAAACCTATTAGGCTCGTCGGTGTGATCTCGGCATCGAACTCGGCAACCTCAGCGAACACCGGGTCATGCCCTCGGCATACCGAGCTCGGCTCGGCAACTTGGCTAGTTCTTACCGAGGAGAGAGATTGTTTGGTTTAAAAAACTGAGCCGTTGCCCACCCTTTTCTTACCGGTTCTTTTTTTTTTTTTTTTTTTTTAATTTTCAAAAAACCTTACACTTTTACCCTATATAAACACAACTATTTCTCATATTTTAAACTACTTCATCACCTTCATTTTTTTCACTCAAATACATTATTTTTTGTCAAAAAAATAGTTTTGCGTTCCAACCCAAGACCTAAAAAAAATAGCAAAAAAACATCCAAAACCCAAACATCTCACATTCTTCTCCAAACTTTGTTCAAAATCAACAACATCGACCTATTTATTCTCCACCAAATTTACATTTTGGTGGAGTATACTACCCATTTCAAGGTCAAGCACAATACCAAAACCAACTTCAATTTAAAAATCAACCACAATTTCAAAGGCAACTCTAATTTCAAAACCAACTACAAATGGATTTCTCATCCTAAATGGACAATGACTTCAATCCATTTGATGATATTTCCGACTCGCCAATGAATTTCGAAACCCAAACCCAATTTTCAAGTCAAGCGGAACCCGAAGTCGTCCCCGAAACGGAATCGGAGCCGGAAAAGAATCGCCCACAACCAAAACAAAGTGGAAGGGCGGTTCCAAAGCAATGGACACCGGCCGAAGAAAAGGCGTTAGCTCATGCTTGGGTGGATGTTTCCGAAGATCTGGTGATCGGAAACAACCAAGATTGTCCTACTTTCTTCAGGAAAATCACACGGCGTTTTCTCAACGAGATGAATCTTGGTGATTACCGGAAAAAAGACCAAGTTTATTCGAAGTGGCGAAATGTCAACAAAGTAGTGACAAAGTTTAACGGTGTTTTTCGAGTTTGAAACGGAAATGACAAAGTGGTGCAAACGTAAAAACCATTTTGCAAAAAGCTCTTGAAATATACTAGAATCAAAAAGGGGCGTTGCTCAAATTTATACATGTTTGGAACATTGTAAAATTGTCAAAAAAAAAAAAATAACAAGATGTCGGCTCTTCCGAAACTTTTAGGGGTGGTTCTTCAAAAAGAACCAAAACATCCAAAACAACACATAGTCAATCGTCTGATGCGCATGTCAGGATTGACCTCAATGAAGAGGAGCTTACTGAGGTTCCAATAGCCACTCGTCCCATGGAAAGAGACTGAGCCAAGCGAAAGGGGAAAGCGGCGGCAACTAGTTCCGACGACATCGATCAACTAACAAACAAAAATGGACAATTTGAAGTCGTCCTTAGAGCGATACTTGGAACTTGCACAAGCGAAATAAATAACTTGTCCCATGTCCATCTTAATGAAACCTACAAACGAGCTATCCGGATGTGAACGGGATATAACGATAAAAGTCAAAGAGGAGCTTGCAAAAAATATAACATCTAGCTTTCGTTTTCTTAATTTTCATGGTTTCATTTTTTTACATATCTAGGTTTGTAATTTGAATTTCTATGTTTTTTTGGTGTGTTGTATTTTTATTTTATGTTAAATGAAATTTAAGTTTTTTAAAAAAAATAATATGTTTGAAATATTTATTTTCTATATTAATTAAAAAAAAGTAGCATGACAAGTGTGGCATTCTGCACCATGTAAATGACAAGTTTTGGCTAAAGTGTGGCAAATATGACATGGCGCCTACGTGGACCGTGACAAGTATAACAACCAACCCAACTTATATCAACCAAAACTTTTTATCCCAAAATATTTTTGTGCTATATATATATATATATATATATATATATATATATATATATATATATATATATATATATATATAAAATCCAAAAACAAGGTTATACTTAATATCCAAACAAAAAGTAACCAGAATGACTAAAGATTTACAACAAAGTGTAACTACATAATGTAACATCCGTCTCTCGAGGTATTATTTAATTAAGTAATTAATATTTATTAATTGGACTAATAATGGGACAAGTGGACTTTTGGAATGGACCTTAAGCAAATGGGCCGAGATTTTAGGCCGCCCATAAGACGTACGTTGGGCGTAGCCTTGGTGTACGCGGGGCGTAGAGGCGCCTTGGATGCGGGGGACACGCACACGTACGCGCAGCGTACGTGAGTAGATGCCAAAACCCTAATTTTTAGGGTTTAAGACATATAAATACCCCATTATAGCCCCCCTGGCCTCCTTACCAGCCCCTTACCCTCAGAAAACCCTAATTCGCCCTCATACTCCATTGTTGTGTGTGTTTGACCTTTTGAGCTCCTTTTTGGTGAAGAAAGGTTTGGAAGAAGAGAAGAAGAGTTGAAGAAGAAGAACTTGAGTATCCTGAGCTCAAGGATCTGGGACTATTTCATCTTTTGGCACTCAAAGGAGGTATAAAAGCTCCTAACTTTCCTCTTAGAAGCTTAGATCTAGGATTATGGGACCTTTCTAGGTCCAAAGGTCGGATCTTTATCATGCAACTTCGTTTTTGAGCTTAGGGTTGCCACCCTTGGAGCTCAAAGTCTTCCTTTAGCAGTAAAGTTTCAACCTTTAAGGCCTTTATGTGACCGTGCATGAGATCTAGCCATTTCTATGGAGTTAGTTGCTATTATTCAATGTTTGGGCTCATTTGGTGGGTTGCAAGCCAACAAGTGATTGACTTTATGGATCAAGACATTAAAGAGGACTTGGATCTGTAATTATAGCCTTTGTATTAGAGTATTAAGCACTTAAGGGGAAAAGTGACTTAACAGGGAAGTACGCTGGGGGTACATGCAGGTACGCGCAGCGTACACGCCATTTAGCCAGTACACTTAGCGTACAGAGGAGTACGCCCCGCGTACTCAACAAATATGGGCTTGGGGTGTTTTGGGCCTCGGTTTGGCCCATACTTTGGATTTTGGGCCTTAGAGGGTTGGGTCTGGACTATTGGAGCCTGTGGCCCACTGTGGAGTATAATTCTGGGCCTCGGAATTTGGAATTAGAGGTATTGGGCCTTTTGGGCCATATTGGGCCATATTGGGCCATTCGAGATTATTCATTTTGGGCTAAGGACTTATTGGACTTGTGAAAAGGCCCATTTGAAGTGTTGGGCCTAATTTAGACAATTGGGCCATTAGTGGGCCTTAGGGAGCCTTGATGGGCCATAGGTGTACTGGGTTAATAAATTAGAATTGGGCCTTAGGAATGGTTCAAGTTGGGCCAAGGGGGTAAAATGGTCATTTTACCCTAAGTAGTGTTATAGATTCTAATTGAGTATTATTATGATTATGATAGCCGGGAGTCATCGGAGCAGCTGTTAGAGATTACTTCCCGTGAGATTCGACCACAATGTCGGCCCACTAGTAGGAGTGGGTCTACGGCCACAATGTCGGCCCACTAGTAGGAGTTGGTCGATAGATGATTGTCTTTGTGATAATTATCTAGGTTTGCTACTACCTGATATGTTTTATGTGATTAGCATGATATGATATATGTGATAGTGGTAGTAGGGGGATTAGTCCCGGTTACCGGTTGAAAGATACCGAAGGGGTCGTCAGAACCCACGCATGTCTAGTAGTATGTTCATGATATGTTCTTATGTGGTAGTGGTAGGGGGTGAAATAGTCCCCGGTTACCGTTTGAAAGATACCGAATGGGAGGTGAACTCCCGGTTACCGGTTGGAAGATACCGAAGGGGAGGTCAGCTCCCGACTA